AAAGAAAGAAAGAAAGAAAGAAGGAAGGAAGGAAGGAAGGAAAGAAGGAAGGAAGGAAGGAAGGAGGGAAGAAAGGAGAAAAAGAGAGAGAAGAGAGAAAGAAAAAGAAAGAGAGAAAGAAAGAAACCTTCAGATCTCAAGAGAACAAAAAAAAAAGAAAAAAGAAAGACCTAAGCAGAGAAGATTGTGAAAAGTGCTATGAAGGAATTATATAAGAAAATTTAAAAAAAGGAGTCAGTGGATATTTTAGATCAGGTTATTATGAAAGGCCTCTGAAGAAATGACATTTACACTGATAACTGAAGGATGAGAAAGAAGATATGCAAAGAGCTGGGGAAAGAACATACCAGGCACTAGGTAAAGCAGATGCAAAGACTATGGGGCCAAAGAAAGCTTGAGTTTCCAAGGAACACTGTAGTATGGTTCCCAGTGCCAAGCTCAGTTTCTGATACATTATAGGTGCTCAATAAATACACTGTTGAGTGAAGGAAGAGGCAACAGTACACAATATGAGATTAGAAAGGAAGACACAGAGGCCAGATCATAAAGGTCCTTTTAGGATATGATCACAAGTTTTTACCTTATTCTAAGTGCAATAAAAACCCACTGAAAGGATTATTTTTTTTTCTTCCCTTCCTCTGTCAACCGAAGGAATATTAAAAAAAAAAAAAAGATTTCTCTACTGCTATATGAAGAATGAGTTTCAAGAATGACAGCAAAGAGATCAGCTGGAGACTACTGCAGAAGTTAAATAAGAGAAGATGGTTGCTTAGAGATGAAGAGGAGTGGGTGGGTTTGGGAATAATGAGTTATATTTTAAGGTAGAATTCATATAACTTGTTTATGAGCAGGATGTAGGCATAAAGGAGGGGAAGGAATCAGTATGACTCCTAAATTTTGTGTGAGGAACTGGGAAGACCATGGTAGCCTTTATAAAGAAGAAATAGAATAATTCCACCTGGTGAAATGCCTATTGGATATTGAAATGAACATGTCATGTAAGCATCTGGAGTTTAAGGGAGAAGTAAGATTGGAAAGTTTGGGAGTCAACAGCATTTACATGATATTTAAGAGCCACAGCATGGGGTGAAAGACAATAGAGATAGAGAAAAAAATGAGGCCAAGACCAATCACAAAAACACTCCAGTATTTAGAGATCAGTTAGACGACTCCATCAGGAGTCAGTGATGTAGAAGAAGAGAAAAAGGAGTTTCAAGAAGGAGAGAGTGGCCACTTGCACTGAATGATGTTGAATGGTTAACATGAGGGAAAACGAGTTTAAAGAACACCTGGATAGAATACCTGATTAACAAAGTTACAGGGGACAATTTTAATTTGTGATGAAGTTGAACCAGAGAGTCTGTGGGTCAAAAACCACAGCAAACGGTAATGTCAAAAAAAAAAAAAAAAAAGTGGGTGGATTTCATTAAAGGCTAAGCACTGAAATGTTAGAAAGCCAATATTTCTCTTCCGTCTCATGCATACAAGTAGGCTCTATTCTCAAAACCCTGTCTACATGGCCTTAAAACATTGAGCAAGAGTTGGTGAATTCGTTCCTTTAGGGAA